GCATTTGAAATAATACTAAGAAAATCTATAAGGCTTTATAACAATAAACAATTGGCACATGAGCTTCAGCTATACAATATCAAGCCAACACTACTACAAGTAATTGTTCCTGTAAACAACTAGTCCCCATTCCCCAGCCTACAGAATGACTGTAGGCTGGGGAACAGTCTGACTAGCAATACTAGTAAACAACTACATACAAAGCTAAAATATTATAATTATAGCAGGGATGACACAATACTAACTAAATGCAATATAGCTAGTTATATATACTATACTAAAGTAGCATCACATACAATAGTTCAATGGTTCATTCTCAGAGTATAGTGCAGGAACTGCTTTCCCTACGACGTGGGGGAGGGTTAAGTCTCCTCTGCACTGCTTTAATTGGCTCAATGAAGTTGGTCTCCATCCACCTCTTCTCAAAAAACATGACTTTTTGTACTTTTTTCTGCTGTCCTCCAATGAGAAGAGATTCGGTCACAAGAAGATCAGTTTTGACAGCACTTATCTCAACAAATTTGTTTGGCAGTGATCCACAGTCATTGACTGGATGAAATATCGATCCAATCAAGTTGTCAGGGCTGAGAGCAAGACAGAGAACTATGAGTTGAGCCTCTTCTTCGCTGGTCAATCGAGAGTAATTCTGATAATCTCTGAGGCGACGTATAGTGTAGTCACTATCAGGTTCAACACAACTGCAGACACAATCAAAGTAGTACATGAGCTTTGCTATTGGATCACCAGGTATAGTGACTCTTCTACCTACATCCTTTATCTGTACCTGAGTCCTTCCCACTACAGCAGCCATTACTGCAATAATGAAATATAGAAATGCATAAAAAATTTAATGACATTTTGCATTAAAGCAACTAAACATCAGAAATACAATCAGATACATTAACATACTTAGAAAACCAGTTTAATGCTCAGTGACAGGATAATTAAGAAAGAGAAAAGCAGGATTTAGTAGTTATGTGATAGCTAGACACTAGACCAAGGCCCGTCTATAAATACTATAGTTTTATTCATGGAAATTCCAGGAATAGCTTCACTATGCTTGCTAAGTAAACAGTGTACACACTACAGTGACAACCAGATCTTTATTATGAATTATAGCATTGGACTACAGGTGAATACAATTGAACTATTAGGTACACATCATAAGATGTATAACACAATGACAGCAGGGGCGTATCTAGGATTTGGAGGA